CTGACTTTTCTGTTGGAATTTCAAGAACATTCATTTCATTCCTCCCTGCACACCTTAATAACGAGCTTGTATTTATGTTTAATATAACATGCCATTACCCTCCCCCCATATAAGATATTTTTCCTGATTTATCTCAACTAAATAAATCTTCTGATAGGGTTTCACTTTCTCAAGTCTTTGCAAGAGTAGCTTAACTGTTCCAAACACAGTTTATTTTCAGACTCATCAGAGTACTTGGTGCCTTCTCACAGTCAGCAGTCATCTGCCGTTAGTGGGGCACTACTGTCTAATAGATACCTTGAGAGTTCTTAGTAATTATTGCATGGAATACTGGCCATACACAGGATTTTGCTTTTAGTACATATCTTCTCAACAGAGGCTTTGATAGTTTATCTTTCTGTCTGTAGCTTTTGACAGTGTAGCAGAAAAGAACGCTTAGAAATTTGCCTCCGCTTCTGCAGAAGTAGATCTCAGATGACAAGAACAAGCAGCAGGATTCAGAGTAGTTCCCAGAATACTGAGAGTGATTGTCCTTAAATGTGTTGCCCTACTATAGCCCAGAAACATTTACTTCTAATGGATGTGCAGTTGAAGGGGGAAGTGAAATTTTTCCTAATATGTCCACAAACTTTAGCATTAAGAGGGTTCTGAAAACTCTTGTTTCGGTTGCAGGTAAGATGAAGAATCACTCTCTGTCTTGAAACAACTGTTAAAAAAAACCCCACCTTTCTGTGGAAATAAAAACTTGGATTTTCTGAGTCTGAGGAAAAAGGAAGCATCTTCCCTATGCCTCAGAAAATCTCAGCTGTATTTTTCAGAGGGAGGGTACCTCTGTCACAGTAGTACCAGGTTTACCTTTAATGTAGCTTACGGCAAATCAGATGTCTTGAATGTGTAGTGGGGGGCAGGACGAAAAGATGAAATTGGACACCAGTTGTCTCCATACTAATAAGGAGCACTGTGAAGTTAGTTGTTGGGAAAAGTATGGGCTAAGGAATGCAGGCATGTAACTCTAACCCTTAGAGCATTTCTCCTCTGTTACTACAGAGGAGACTAGTAGAAATCCTGCTTAGCAGCTTCATCTCCTTGGAAGGCAGAGACCTTTGGAGGGAGGTGCAGCTTTCTGAGCCAGCTATGGTTTATCTCAAGAACATTTAAATTCACTGTCAGGGTATCGGCTTATATGAAAACAACAAACATAAAGCTATAGCTATGTGTTCCCAGTGCAGGTTAATCAATATTTTCCCATACTGTGTGTAATAGTCTTGTGCCGTAGCAGCACATCAGCCTTTTGTGTACTTTCTGTGTGTCTTCAGGGGATCTGAATACCCTGTGTTTTCTCGTGCTTGCTTACATGAAGTAGAGTTACCAAAAAAAAAAAAATCAAAACAACACACTTTGCAGTAGAAACTTCTGTAGAAAGTATCTCATCACAACCACCTAGAAGTAATCTATATTTTGGATTGTTTTGTGGTTGCGTTTTTTCTGTGAAAGTCACTTAAACTTTGTTTCATTTGCAGTTTAAGATCCTAAATGTACCGATGTCTTCCCAACTTGCTGCAAACCACTGGAACCAACAGCAAGCTGAACAGGAGGAGAGAATGAGGATGAAAAAGCTCACGTTGGACATCAATGAACGGCAAGAACAAGAAGACTACCAGGGTAAGAAAATTGCCAAGTATTTAATTTTGATTTTCAGAGGGACTTTCCTGGATCTACAGAAAGTATTATTTGCTATAATTGGAAGCTTATCTTCTGCATAATAGTTTGTAACACTTGATGGAAAAATCTGTGTTTTGGTTTCAGTCATTCATTATTTATTCCCTGATCTCTGTGTGCAAAGAAGTTTTTATAGCTCTTTCATGAAAGGGAGTTTTCTGTAAATCTCAGCATTTCAGTGTATTTTGGAAAAGGGGAAGAACTGAGATTTTTTCCTTAAGAAGAAGATAACATAAATTTATTCTGTGGCATTGCATCCATCACTGCAAGACAATTAAGTTGGGTACAAGAGGAATGAATTCTGCAACCTAAATTCTGCTTTTTAGGTATTAATAGGCAAAGGTATCAGAATCTTCACCAGTCTTACTAAGACTTACAAATACTAAGAGGTCACCTTCTCCTGAGAAACAAAAATGGCCACTTGCATATTGTAAAGGTTCTAGGAGTGCTACAAACCTGGAGCATAAGAATATATTAACAGAATGAAGGTTTCATACAAATTATATGATTAATCTGCTTTTTAGATATGCAAGTCAGGCATTTTGGAACCCGAACAGATTGAAGCAAATGGGAAACGCAACAGTCCATGGAGCCCCTAAACTGATGCACTGGATGTGCTTGGGTTTTGGGTCGTTTGGTTTGGTTTTTTCAGACTCTGGTTTCCTTGGCTCACTCAGTAAACAAAGCCAGGCCAATAACACTGATGGCATTCTGTTCTTATGGGAGTATTTCTACTTAACATCTCCAAAGTTTTTGCTCTACTTTTTTAATTAAGATATTGCAGTCTAGTATTTACCACAGTGTAAGTAGTTAATTAGCAGGAAATGTCATTTAAGGTGTTTAGTGAAAGGTCACTGTTCATCAAGAAATGGGAAATTTAAATTAAAGCAGCACTAACTCTAAAAGCACTATGGAATCTAGTGCTCTATTCAGAACTTTGCTAGTAGAACTTAACTTACAATTATCAACAGGATGTGTGTTTTTCAAAATGAGCACAGTATATTCTTAGTATTAAACATCATAATTAGCTTAAAAACTTCTTTTCTGAGACACTCCCCTCTGATGAAGCCCACTTGTGAAAAAAGAGGAGAAACTGTAGACTACAGAATTAAACATTTTAAGTGCTTTTCCTAGGCTTTTTGTGGGTCTTCCCTCAATGATATTTCTGGTATTTTTACTGATCAGGGCATTTGTGGTTTTATGCCTCATCATATGACTTTGTGGGTATCTTTTTAAGGATCAGTCTGTTTAATCTAGGATTGTATTGTGAGCAACTGTAGATCCCTATGCAAAATAGGGTCACATTTATTTTTTCCAAGAGAAATTAATCAAACAACTGATCCCAATTGATAACCAGTAATAGGCAATGTTTTCTTTACTTTCTCATAGATTTTCTAGGTGCTGTGTATGAAGTATTAATACAGGGGGGAATCAGCAGCAAATGGGTTGTTCTGTAATTAATATGAATTTTTAAAACAGCTGTTGATTCTCTTTATCAACCTGGGTAACACACACACAGAGTAAAACCAAACTAAAAAGGACGTTTTAATCAGATGAAATTAAACAGGCCAAATTACATTCCTCTTTGGAACTCTCTTGTATTTAGATGTTGTGCAGTTGATTGGTACTTTTGAAGAGTCGGCTTGCTTGTAACAAGTTGGTACATACACATTGGAAGAAAGAGTTGGTTTTCAATTTCTGTTTCAAGCTTTGAAGTTACCAGCGGAGGTAGAAGTCTCAGTGTCTGGAAGAATGCCTCAGGGTTGTCCTAACGTTTGCACACACATTTGGGGTTTTTTTCATCTGCGCAGAGTAGCTAACAGATGAAAATTCACCAATGTACTTCAAAGTAGTATCGGGTATTTCAGACTTCAGCAACGTTTATTAGTATTACAAACATTTTTAATCCTAGGGTTTGGGTGACACTCAAATTTAGACTAGTATTTTTCTGTGTAGACTTTTTTTTCTCTTCACTAAAACCAAAGATGGGTGACATAGCTTCAGCTTAGCTCATACACTGTGCTGCTTTGGCATTTCTTCCTTCTGTTATTTTCTCAGTTACTCAACTTGACAGTTATCAACTTCACAAACTTCGATATTTTTTTTCACCTGTAGTGTGGAAAACAGAAGACACAGGCATGCACGCACTTGTTTCCTCATTGCTTGCTTCTAGCACCTGGCTGGCAATGTCCCATAACCTCATATTTTCTTCCTGGGTCTCATCACTGCCAACAGAGATCTCTTCTGGCATACAAAATTGTTTTGAAGGATGTTATGTCATGATGTTTACAAAAATGGACTGTCAGTGTGTTGAATTGCTTTCTTTGCATTTCCAGGTCTTTATAGGGGAGTATACAGAGCGTGAATACATGGTTTGCTAACTGTTGACACCAGTATTGTATATTAAATCATTCCTAGTTTCCCGTTTTCTCTAAGATTGGGTGGATAACTTACCAAAAGTTCCACATGCACTTTGTAAATGGTGAGAGAACCTCATTAATGTCTCTAGTTTTGCCCTGTGCGAGTCATCGTGGGAGTAGTGTTTGTTTCTAGCAGGTGATGGGTATGTGTCTCCAATGAGATTACCTGGGATTAGAGAACCAGACAGAGCAGACTTTCCAACATAATCTTTTTAACAGCTTATTCCACTTTTCCCCTTCATTTATCCCATCTGTTTGCTGAGCAGTGTAGATCTTGCACAGGTGGACTGTCAGAAATGCTTTCCATTAGATGCACTAATATATGGGCAGAGGTTATGTGGAGGGTCCTGTGATGTGTTCGTAATTAAATTGGGTACTTAACCACTAACTGAGCCTGGTAAAGAGCTGTTTTTATCATTAAAAAAAAATGAAATGAAATTTTAAGAATGAAGTCTTACCAAATGCCGAAGCAGAATACTTACCGAGCTTAAACTGCCCAAAAGCTGGATGTCCAGGGCTGAGCTGCGTAGTGCAGACTGCTTTCGGCACCCACCTAGCTCTTCACACTGATGGTACGGTGAAGAACTCCATCCACATCCATGGGACAGCTGGTGCAATGTAGGTCAGCTGAGTCACCCTCCTCCGGTACCTGTCTGCTCCGTAAAAGGATCCTATTACTGCTAGCTTAGACTTAAATACCTGGCTTCTCAGTGCCTAATTTGGGGCAGGTTTCTTGCCGAGCCTTTAAGAGACAGCAACATTGTCCAGTTGTCACTATTTCAGGGTATTTTAATGTTGTGGCTTCTCCTCCTGCTGTGAAGCTTTGTCCCTGATCATAAAGAAAGTGCTGGCTGGTATGTTTAGAAAGAAAAGGTTGCAGCCCCCTTCTTAAGCACCTGTGATGAAAACCACTGCTGGCAGTTCCTTCTGTAAGAACATCTGGAAATGCAAGTTCATATTACGGGGTAGTTTGGGTTTGTCCAAGGTGTCTGTGCGATTTAGTAACTTTTTAAAACTAGCTGTTGTGGAACAACTTGAGGAGCGTTAACCCTAAAGCATAGCAGAGTGTAAATAAGGTCTTTTTTACTATGTGTCAGTGCAATGTGCTTCTGTAAATTCCTCTTTGAAAGGATGAGTAGAAAATGTATTTAACTGTGTTCTGTACGCAATTACAGAAATGTTGCAGTCTCTGGCACAGCGTCCAGCTCCAGCAAATACTAATCGTGAACGGCGGCCTCGTTACCAGCATCCGAAGGGAGCACCTAATGCAGATCTAATCTTTAAAACTGGTGGGAGGTAGGACAATCTTCCTTTAAATGTGGTAATTCTGGTTCTAGGCAAGTAATTACTTTCATAATTGAAACAGATAATGATCTGTGTAATGCAAGTGCATTTGTTAATAGTTTCCATTCTAAAGCATTCTGGTAAACTACAGAATGCTCTGTGCTTGTGTCGGTAAATGTGCCCTTGACCGAACTTTGGAATCCACAGGATTGTTTTTTCAGTTGTGAAATGCCCCAAAAAGTCTGAGCCTCCTCTTACAGGGAAAAAGATGCAAGTCTGCTTTCTCAGTGAGAGGATATTTTTGAGTAGCTAAAGAAATTCCCATTGTGCTTTTTCAGTTTGGTGAATTTGAGAGGTGTATCTCTATTAGAAGCCTTGAATGGAAAGTATATTTAGTAGAGGTGGGAGGAGAACCTTTGATTTATGGTAAGCAAGAGCATACCAAAACCAGTATTAACATGAAAAGAGTCATTCCAGATTTCCTAATAGTCATTCTACAGCTTTACTATATCTCAGAGTGTCTTTTCACACTCTGAGTAAGCTCACAAATAAATGATTACACGAACCCTGCAGCACAAATTTAAACAGACGGCATCTCGGGTGAAATGCAGACTGCTTTCATGCTTTCTTTACAAGTTAATTTTGGAGATGGATAGATAGGAGCAGCAACTGGGAAGGGAGAGCTTGCTTACTACAGGGTCTGTCTTTGTAAATTACAAATAAGTTCCTGTAATATACTAATCCTTTGTTACAGGAACGTTGCCCACTTTTGGGTACATTTTTGTAGTCACTTCATAACTTCCTGATGAGCAGTCACTCACTCCACTGAGACCCAGTACAGATACTGCTTGTGTAAAAATTCTTCTTTTGAAAACAGACTGCAATTGAAAATAAATATTTTTAAAAAATTAACCAGATGCAACTCAATCAAATGAGCAGTGCTGTCCTTTTAACTTTTTTCCTACCAGTGAGGCTTAATACTGTTGCAGAAATACAAACTCTTCAGTTACACTGAATTGCCATAATCCGTGCAGGTGTAAATAACGACACGCTCTGCTCTTCTTTCAGTCATTTTTTCCCAAACACCTTGCAACCTGCAGTTGTTCTTTGAATACAGCAGCCAGACCAGTGGATGTGATATTTGCAGGTCTTTTAAAATGCTGTTCTTTTGAAAGCTTTTTATTTTCGAATATTATAGGGAAAATTTAATTTTGGACTTCACTGTAAACTAGGTCACTGTCAACCTAGTCAAAAGCAACAGTTTTAGTGCTTGCTTGTTCAAATAGCTGTGCCATGCTCTTGCAATTCCAGTGTAGTGCTGTATTATGTAATTCACTCTTTGTTCCTTTTAATCTCTAAGCTCCTTGCAGCAGGGACCAGGAAGTTTGTTTAGCAGGCATATTTTATTTGTTGTGTAGTGCAGTGCTCAGGCTTGCCGTCATGCACGTGTTGAGTGTCGTAGTCTGTAGTAAAGCAATGTTACTTTTCTTAACCCCAACTGAAAGATACTGAAGCAGAGCTTTATTTATTAGAGACTGTGGGTCCACTAGTGGCTTACCACTTGTGTTATAGACTGCTTGTGGTATAGATCTGTCACCTATGTTTTTTAGAGCTTCTGATTTATAGGAGGTAGTGAAGATTGTTTTCTGACTTTGGAGGGTGGATTGCAGTCTCTCTGCCCAGACTACCCCCATGTCTTCATTGAGAAGTTACCCCACACACTCTGAGGACACCAGAGTATCTTCCTATTTGCTCTGAGCAAACAGGAACTGAGCTATTAATTTTAGTATCTGTTTGGAGAAGTATTCATTTTCCTACATGATAGAACAAATGCGTATAATTACAGATGTTATCACTTACATGATGAGTGAGCTGTGTTATGCTTTCTTCTTTGTACATGAAGATGACTGTTAGCTTATTTTATTCTGTTAGTAACTCAAATTTATTGGAAATAACGTGTTATTTTCTTTAAGGTGTGCAACTTCTTATTTTAAATTTTGTGAGGGTAGGAATAATCTGAGCAAGTAAATCTCCTGGTTGATTCCACTGTAATGTACAACCTGTCAGGTTCTGACAGCTAAGGGTACTTTTGTGTGCTAAACCAAAACCACCCACAGATGTGTCGCCTACTTTGCCTGTGATAAACCCCCAGTAAATGGAAGAATGAATTAGTGGCTGTGGCTGTACTGCATCCACTTTGTTTAGAAACGAGCAAAGTCTTTTGCAGTGTCTATTTCATTTGTTATCTATTGATGTCCTTTTTCTGTAGTGAATTAACTGCAGTGAGATTTACAGGCTTTGTCAGATTTCTTACTGTTTAGTGTGTGTAAAATTCTGGATCAAAAATTTAGAATTTATTCCTGTTTATTTGTAATCACCTGGTCATAGCTCCGAGTTTGAACACTGCTAACCCTGCAAGGAAGAGATTATTTTGGAACTCATACATTTAAGGCTGACAGGCCTTAAGGGTAATTTACTGTGACTCCATTAAAAGTAGTGTTCCTTGATTTGCTTCAGCAGAAATGGGAAGGCAACAATTTTCACTCTTTGCCTCCAGTTCTGTAGCAATTGTGTATTAAAAGAGAACTTTGGCTATCAAGCTGTTCAGCTGACACCTTCAGGAAACACAAAATTTACAAAATGATTATTTTTCTTTGATGGGATTATCATGACAATATTCATTTATAGTTTTGGAGAACAACCTCTCACTTCAAAAAAGAAAAGGAGTGGTTTTCCTTTGTTTAAAGAGGCTTGCGATCCATTAAATGGTGTGCTTGAAAAGTGAAATGTGAAGAACCACACTGTGAAATCTATTTAAAAATATTGGTTACCAGGAAAGAAAAAATTGTAGTGAGAAATTTGACTGCAGAGAAATGAGCCTTAGCAAGGAGACTTTTAACTTGTTAAACCTCTCCTTATTAAAAGCAGTAACCTCAAAACTCACTGCTGTTTTGAAAGTGTAGTAAAGTAAGCAGACCCCTCTGTGTCAAAAGGTCCGCTGGGATACAGCCACAAGCTGACAAACTAAATCATATTCAAGGTAATTGGTAATTTCAGGTCTCCTATTTGCATCCGACTGCTATTTCTCTAACCCATTTAATAAAGAAAAATGAAGCATAAAGGTAATAACAGGATGCTAGGATTTTATTAGCTAAATATTCTCTTAATGTAGAGCATTTCATTAATGCTGGAAAATCAGAATATAGATAATAAGGAAAAATGTGAATTTAACATGATTTCCTGTTTCAGCTACTGGACAAACACACTTCATACCTCACTTGCTGTGTATTTCATGTACTGACTGATGTTATATTTTGAAGTTTGAGTCCATGTCTTACTGACATACACCAGAAGTCTTGGGCAGCCCAAATGCAGTTTCTGTGGGCCTCAGTCTGTAGCTGCCTGTGGTAGACTGTTGGTGTCTCAAAGCAGACAGACTCGAGTGTTGGCGTGGCACTGTCTTGAACTGAGAGATCTATCCTTTGGTACGTCATGCTGCTTTGGAAGTCTTGAGTTGTCATTTTCAATGGTCTCTTGTATCCTTTAAAAAAAAGAAAAAAATCTCATTGCTTTAGCAGTAATGTTTTGTTCTTGCTTCAGAGATTTTTATGGTGGAATGGCTCCCATCTTCACATCCTAGGTAACATAAGTACTAAAAAATTCAGTGTGCTATTTGACTGTGTGCTGGCTCAGTTCACCTTATTCTTTGCCATCTTTTTCACCAATGTTTGAATCTTGACCTTTTCTCAGCTGTCATTCTTGATCCTGTACTACATCCTCCTCCCTAGTAGTCAGTGTAGCTTTCTGTGAAAGCCACTCGGCAGAGCAATCCCAGCCTCCCTTTTCAGCTGTTTTATGGGAGCAAAGCCCAGAGTAGGAACTTGGCGGAGGGGATTCCAAATCCTGCGGCTTTTTTTGTGGACTGCACTGGAATTGAACAGGGAAAAAAGGCGAGGTTCTCAGGTTTTTGTCTTGACTACATGGTGCTTGTTGGGCTCTGCAAATGTAGGTGTGAGTCTAACCCGTATAGCAAAGGGGAAGAGAGTTGCAGTTTAGAGGGAAAGGAAGACAAGATTTTCTTTATTAGCATACTCGTTTATAAAGGCTCTTTGAGAAAGTTATTTCACTGTAAATAATAAACCAAACAAAAACCACTTCAGCTTTGTGGCCCTCTGGAAACTACCAATCCTGAAAACCCCTTCCTGATAACAGCCCTAGGTCTGAACAATATTAGACTTGTCTGCTGAAATTGTGCAGGGGACATTCTTGTGATGTAAGTTGTCTGTGTTCTGATGTGGTCTCTGGAAAAAATTTGTGCAGGTGATAGAAATAAGTAACTTTAATAGGCAGAGGCTAATACAATATCAAAGTCACCAGCGGTTGATTTCAGTGGCTGCAAATCTGCGTTGCATCGATATCTCTTATTAAACTGTTTCTTTTCTCCTCTCATTCCTTAGGAGACGTTGATCCAGCAGCAAGTGTCATTTCATTAGGTCCTGTATCTCTGATGTTGTGGATAGTGGAGTCCTCCAGCGATTAAATGAGAGCAGTGGACACATCTCAGCATGTCAGTCTAGAGCGTTCAGAATCGAAACCTGGGACAGGCTGGGGCCGTGGGGCGGAAACAACGGCCTCCCCTCTTCCCCCCCAAACCCACACAGAACAAGTGGAAGCTTCCAGTCATGGCCTACCAAAAAAAAAAAAGCTTTTTGTTATGGGAACCGCCTTGAGGGTTAATTTCTTATAAGAGCTGAAGTAAATGAATGAGATGGGTAACTTGACCAGCAGTGAGCTGCTCAGTCAAGACGAAGATCAACCAGAAATTCAGACGATTACACTGGAATGGAAAAGGTCTTTGACAGCTCCGGATGTGGGAGAACAAAGTTCTGAGCTTGACGCAAGTGACGCTATTTCCGGATCGAGCACTTTGTGTTGGAAGGATATTCTTTGAGAGCTGCAGATCTGCAGTAGGAAAACGTAGAGCCAACGGCGAAATCAAAAGGAAAACCCTGACAAGTAGGATAACTTCTTATCAAACACTCCTTCACGAGAAAGTTTTGGGATAAGGAATAACGTTTTGCTGCCAGAGGAGCAAGAAAGGAGGGGCTGGGGAGGGGTGAAAACGCAAGAGCCAAGGAGGTAAAATGTCTGTTAGGGTTTAAGATAGAATGTGACGTGATTAACACGGGGTGTTGACTCGTACTGCTTGGAACAGCCTGACACCAGCCTAAGGACAGGGATATAGTTGAGCCCATTGTACGTATCATTGACAACCAAAATGTGCCAGTCGGCATAACAGGAGGATGTCAAGGGGTGGATCCAAAGTTTTGTTGATCTTCATGGGTTGATAAGCCTCTATGTCTGTTGAAACAAACAAAGTTTTAAAAAAAAAAAAAAAAAATTGAAGTCTGGAAACAAGTAGAATTTTTTTTTTTAAGTAGAAATGAGGTTTCTTGGTCTGTTTCTGACAATCTGTTATTTATTAGCATAGTTTTTTGTTGGCTTTCAGGTAGAGGTAGTTAATTGAGTTTAGGAGCTCATCTGTATGTTACTACTAATTCTTTTTTTTTCTAGCTCTTTTAAAATCCTTTTTACCACTGTTTTTGGTTTCTGCATGTAGGAAGAGAGACTTGTAAAATTGTAACATTTCATACAGAAATGCCGCCCGATCTTCACCAGCTTCAGAAATCTGACCTTTGCCAATGCTGCAATAAAGTGTTGTAATTTAGAATTGGCCTCTGTCTCTTTACAACGACTTTGCTGCTTCTGAAATGGTGTTTTGAGGAGTTTGTGGTGTTTCATGGCGCTTGGGCAGCGCTTTGTATACGCAGCGTAAAAATAGGTGGCATTTTACCAAAGCAGGAGGATTCCTGCCCCAAGACATGCACTTGAAGCACACTTAGTAAATGCAGGATTTTTGTGCTGCGTAGCAAGGTGTTGTGAAACAGATCATCGTGTTATGGAATGTCATAACACGGATGTCATATGCATAATTTAGCCTGAGTTAAAGTAAGCTGGTTTTGGCTAGATAACAGCAGTGAAGTTCCCTCTCGTGGCACTGGCATCTCAATTCGTGCGTTGACGCAGGAAAGGGCGAAATGCTGTGATGGACCATGCAGCAGAACTCCTCTTGGTGATGATTTCCTTGAAAACCGAAGTGAAATTGTGGCAGAGTAGTGTTTCTGTTGCTGTCGCCGGGCAGTCCTGAAGTAAAGAGAGCAGCCCCCCGCTCGGGTGAGTTGCACTGTCAGCTCAAGCACTTGGAGTGCATTTTAAATGCCTAAAGCCAGCTAGTGATGCTTTGGAGAGAAGACAACCAGGTTTTTAAAATACACCTACTTAAAGTTCTCTTCTTGAATCACAGAAGCACTGAGAGTGGAAAAACAGCGAGCGCAGCTCTAGGCCTGCTCCTCTGCACGCACATGCTGTAACCGTTGGGACTTGAGAAGCTGGAAAGATCGGAGCACGCTTTCCCTGTGGACATCGCTGGTCAGGCTGGTGGTAACACTCCCAGTTTGCAGACCATGGCTTGAAGTTCTTGTAACATCACATGTAGGTGTGGTTTTCTAGATGTCTGCCAGAGGTAGATCTCATTTTGTAAGGAGGCAAGTTTCCCAAAAGCGTGAGGTTGGCCAAAACCCCACCTTTCCGCAACTGTCTCCTGGTACAGTTGCCTCTGCTCAGAGAAGGAGCTGCCCGTGCCATGGCACTGGGATGTATGTGCCCTGTAAGGAGGAGGACGTTGCAGGAAGACCAGGTCTTCGTTTCAAGTCTTCCGTGATTCTTTTCATATCGCTTTCCTTTGTAAAAATTAATGGGTACATTTATTAATCACATTTGTAGCTCTGAGCTCCTCCAGGAATGTATTCTATGGCGGAATGACCGTATCCATTGGTCAAATCTGATTTCCACTTCCCTAATGAAAAATGCTTACCAATTCCTAAGAGCAAATTAATTCCTCTGTGGTTCAAACTGAAGTCAACTTCCTTTCCTCAACATGCTGCTTAGTTTCAAAGGCATTTAATTTATCCAAATTGAATAACTGCATGAAAATAACGCATGTGACTTCACATTAGCTCTGTTGTGCATGTGTCACTAATGCCCTGGGTGGAATTGGGATCAATGGAAATAGTTTTATAAAACTATTTCCTGAAAATAGTTTGGGGTCAGCTGGGGATTTCCCTGACTTCAGGCTAAAATCAAAACACAACTCCTCAGTGAAACCTTTTGAAGTGTGATTTTTAAATGAATCATTCTAGTGTTACCCTGGCTAAGAATCTTATGTCAGAAACCATTGTGAGCGAAGCAATTTGGCTTGAACATAGGGGGAAAAAAGGTTCCCATTTATTTGCTTTCCCGTTTGCTTGTCCCATGGCCTCGTGGCGTGGCTGGATGCTGCCCTGCCTCTTGCAGAGCAGTTTTGCCACCTGATACGCGTACGACTTGGGGATTGCGTGGCTCCTTTCGTGTCATTAGGAAGTGTGCTGGTTTTAGTCAGAACAGAGCTATTTTCTTCAGTGGCTGGTATGAGGCTGTGGGTTTGGATTTGCCCTGAGAACAGTACCTTAGCTCCTTTGCTCGCTTGTTTGTTAGCGAGCCGGTGGGGCGGTTTGTTTGTGGGGGAGCCGGTGGGTCGGTTGGCTTTCCCGGTCGTGCTGTCGCACGTGGGCCTTGCACGGGCTCTGGCTCTTGCTACTTGGGACCGGGCTGTGCATCAGTCAGCGGGTGGTGAGCAATTTGATAATTTGTTCTATTTTCTATTGGTTTAATTACTTAGTAGTGC